TAGAAAACCATAAAGACACTATCACAAATCTCTTAGACTTAATAAATGAATTTGGCAAAGTAGCAGGACACAAAATTAATGTCAAGAAATCGGCAGCATTCTTATACACCAATGATGAAATCACAGAAAGAGAAACTGAAAAAAAACAATTCCATTTACCATCACAGCAAAATATTAAGATACCTAGGAATAAACTTAACCAAAGAAGTAAAGGACATCTTCACAGAAAACTACAGGTCATTGAAAAAAGAAATAGAGGAAGATATAAAAAAGTGGAAGCACATATCTTGTTTTATGGACCAAAAGAATTAACATCATTAAAATGCCCATACTACCCAAAGCAATCAATTGATTCAATGCAATCTCCATCAAAATACCAACGACATATTTCACAGAACTAGAACCAACATTCCAAATGTTCATATGGAACCAAAGAAAAACCTGAAATAGCCACAGCAATCTTGAAAAAGAAGAACAAAGTAGGAGGGATTACATTAGCATTTTTCAGGTTATACTACAAAGCCACTGTAATCAAAACAGCCTGGTACTGGCACAAGAACAGGCAGATACATCAGTGGAACAGAACAGAAAACCCAGAAATTGACCCAAGAAAATATGCTCAATTAATATTTGACAAAGGTGGCAAGAGCATACGGTGGAATAAAGACAGCCCCTTTAATAAATGGTGTTGAGGAAATTGGACAGCTACTTGCAAAAAAATGAATCTAGACCACCAATTTACACCATACACAAGAATAAACTCAAAATAAATAAAAGACTTAAATGTAACTTGTGAATCCATAAAAATTCTAAAAGAAAATATAGGCAACAAAATTTTAGACATCATACACAGCAGAATTTTCACTGATACATCACCTAAGGCAACAGAAACAAAGAGAAAAATGAACACATGGAACTACATAAAACTAAAGAGCTTCTGCATAGCAAAAGAAACAATCATCAAAATGGAAAGGGAACCCAATATATGGGAGACCATAATTGTCAACGATATATCAGATAAGGGATTACTTTCCAAAATATACACAGTACTCATACAACTCAACAAAAGGAAGACAAAGAACCCAATTAAAAAACGGGCAGAGTGCCTAATTAGATACCTCACCAAACAGAACATACAAATGGCCAAGAGAAATATGAAAAAAATGTTCAATGTCACTAATTAAAGAGGTGCAAATTAAAACAACTATGAAGTATCACCTCACACCTGTCAGAAGGGCCGCCATCAACAAATCACTAAACAACAATTGTTGGTGAGGGTGTGTAGAAAAGGGGACTCTAGTACACTGCTGGTGGGAATGCAAACTTGTGCAGCCGCTATCGAAAACACTATGGTATTACCTCAAAAGTTAAAAATTGAACTGGCATTTGACCCAGTGATCTCAACTCTAGGAATATATCCTAAGAAACCTGAAACACCAATCAGAGAGAATATTTGTACTTCTATGTTCATAGCAGCACTATTTACAATAGCTAAGATCTGGAAACAACCCAACTGTCCATCAGTAGATAAATGGATAAAAAACTGTGGTACTTGTACACAATGGAATACTATGCAGCTGTAAGAAAGAAAGATTTCCTATCTTTTGAGATGACATGGAGGAACCTGGAGAGTATTATGCTAATTGAAAACAGCCAAGCAGAGAAAGACAAATATTACATGATTTCACTTATTTGTGGAATATAATGAACTAAATAAACTGATGAACAAAATTGACCCAGAGACATAATGGTAGGGTACAGACTGACAAACCCCAGAAGAGGGGGTGTTGGGGGGATATAAACCACAGAACTTATATGCATGTATGCATAAACAATGGACATAGACAACAAAGATGGGGATGAAGTGAGGGCGATAGGGAGGAGGGTGTCAATGGGGGAAAAAGGAGAAACATCTGTAACAAAAACAAGTTAATAAAATAATTTTTAAAAAATAAATAACTAATCACACATCTTAATATCAACACTTTAGATGTGGATTTCTGGGCTACTGACAGTGGACCTAGAATAGCACAAAATGCAAATCATGAAGTTAGGAAAAATATATATTCATGCAAAATTAAGTTTTCTTTGACAAGATAATTTTAAACCAGCTATTCAAAGAGAAACAAACAACCAGAATAAAATGTTCTTAGCCCATTTGTTCACAGCATTGTTCACTATAGTAGGAAAAGAAAGCGACAAAGAGTTCCTGGTTATTTACAAGTCTTTGATGAGCTGGGCACGACTCTAAATGCTTTGTACCTGTATATTCACACACACAAAAAAAAAAATTAAGAAGAGACTTAGAATCAATACTTATAACCTCAATACCTATATTCTAATCTATAAAATATGGCTAACAAATGTAAACTTGACAATTTTAAATAAAGTTGTAAGCTGGTTCTTTGAGAAGACCAGTGAATTTAGTAAAGTTTCAGTCACACTGATCAGAAAGAAAAAGAGAAAAGACACAAATTACCAAAACTGACTCAAGAAGAAATTAACTTGAAAGTCTCTTTATTTATTAAAGACATTGAATTTGTACTTTAAAACATTCCCACAGCGAAAACTTCAGAAGCAGATGACTTCACAAATGAAGTATACTAAACCCTTAACGAAAAAAAAATAGCACTTCTATACAAACTTTTCTAGAAAATGAGAGAAAAGGGCACATTTCTCAACTTGTTTTATAAGGCCAGAATTACCCTGGTACTAAAACCAGTCAAAGACATTGTAATAATAATTTTATACAATAATCCTTAGAAGGATATATAGACTCTTGAATATAGGTGAATAGGGATTCTGTTGAGAAAATTCAAAAAGAACAGGACAATTACCTAAAATGTAAAGAGTTGTGATAGGAAGGAATGGTTAGATTGAACTGAGGGGTAAAAGGAGAAGCATTAATAAAAGCTAGGTGAGATTAGATGAAAATGGTGTTCAGTTTTAAATATGGAAAAAATTTAGAAGATGAAGAATTTTGAATTCCCCATCTCTGAGAGTAGTCAACATTAACTTGATAGTTCCTTACAAGAAATGGGAGGTATGTTTAAGAAGTGGATGGGTGTCTGAAGACCTTTTCAATTTAAAACAATCTTAAATTTTCCTGGTAAAACTTATTGGAATCCTTGATTTAACTACGCTACAATTAGCAAAATTTTCATACTATTTATCTATTTGAACAAATCTTTCCAGTGCCCACCTACTGCTTCACTAACTCCATTTTCTGTCTTTTAATAATTTATACCTCCTCTACTTTGGGAATTCTTTTCCAGTTCATGTAGGAATCATATGTGAATAAATTAAATTTTATCAACTAGCTGTATTCCTTAACACTTATAGAATATAGGTTGATAATTTTTTAGAAGAATAAAAGGATATATATATACATTGTAACTTGATCTTTGATATATATATATATATCAAAGATCAAGTTACAATGGGGAGAAATTTACTAAAGTATATATCTCTTATTTCCATTTGTTTCACAATAAACATTACAGTGAAGAATAATCTACTAAACATTTTCCCCATGGCTAACCAGAAATTATTATGGAAAAAAACAATACTGAAAATTTATCATTTAAAAAACAGCCTAATTTGAAAATGGGCAAAGGACTTGAATAGACATTTCTCCAAAGAAGATGTACAGATTGCCAATAAACACATGAGATGTTCAACATCACTATCATCAAGGACAAGCAAATAAAAAATACCCCCCAAAATAACAAATGTTGGTAAGGATGTGGAGAAATTGGAAACCTGTGCATTGCTGTCGAGGATGTTTAGGTGTATCTGTTGTGGGAAAGAGTATGGCGGTTCCTCAAAAAGTTAAACATGGAACTACTTCATGATCCACAAATCCCGCTTCTAGGTGTATACCCAAAGTAATTGAAAGCAGAAACAGATATTTGTGCACCATTGTTCATAGCAGCATTATTCACAAAATTCAAAAAGTAGACACAACCCAGATGTCTATTGAATGAATGGGTAAACAACATGTATATCCATACAATGAGTTTTTTTTAATTGTTAAAAAGGAATAAAATTCTGACACATGCTACAACAGGGATTAACCTGAAAATAATTATGCTAAATAAAATAAACCAGACATACACAAAATATATTGTGCGATCCCAATTTATATGAGGCACTTAGATAGGCAAATTCATAGAGACAAAAAGTAAAAGTGAAGTTGAGGGAAGAGGAATAGAGAATTATTGTTTAATGGGTATAGAGTTTTAGTTGGGATTGTAAGAAAGTTCCTGAAATTATCGGTGGTGATGGTTGTACAACATTGTGAATGTGCTTAATGCTGCTTCAATTATACACTTAAAATTATAACATGGTAAATTTAATGTTTCATATATGTTTTCTCAGTAAAATAATTTAAGAAAACAATAGGGAAAAAATACAATTCGAAATAAAATTAGATATTAAATGGAGAAAAAAATGTAAGTGCTCATGTTTTTATTAAATGTATTGAGATGACATTTGTTAATAAGATTACATAGCTTTCACATGTACAATTCTATGACACATCATCTATACATGGCATTGTGTGCCCATCACCCAAAGTCAAATCTTCCATCACCACATATTCGATTTCCTTTACCCTTTACTACCCCCCAATTTCCCTTCCCTCTGGTAACCACTATACTGTTATCTGTGTCTATGAGTTTATGTTTATCTTGCTTGTTTCAGTTTTATATTTCACATGAGTCAGATCATATAGTTCTTAACTTCTTCTGGCTTATTTCACTTAGCATGATATTCTCAACATTTGTCTCCGTCAAATCAATACATAAAAAAAAATTTTTTAAAGACTTATCCATGTTGTCACAGATGGCAGTATTTCATCTTTTTTATGGCTGAGTAGTATTCCATTGTATTTATATTTAAAATTTTTATTTACTAGAAAATAAGGTGAACTAAAAAGAGAAAAGAAAATGTGTATAGACTAGTGCTAGTACTTTTTCTTTCTTTCTACTCTCCTCCAGATTTGAAGCTCTGTTTACTGATCTAAGAGAGAGAAAAGAACAGCTGGGCATTGCCAGCTTCGACGCTTCCATCACTACCATGGAAGAAGTCTTTCATAAGTGAGTAATAATGACCTAAAAAAAACCACCACTAAAATTTTATGTCAACTTGAGGGCAAACCTTGCCCTACTTGCTTTAGAATAAAGTAATCACAGTTATGAATGTCTAAAATGTGTTAATATGTATGCTAATATGTTTCTGTATATTCAGCTGAGAATGTGTAAAAGTGTTAAACTTGGGCCTTGATGCATATATCTTTTTGTGTTAGAGAGTTTAAAAATTAGTCAAGAAATAGTTTTTCAGATGGCTGCAGGCAGGACTGGAGGGAGGGTGAGTGTGTGAGAGAGTGAGCAAGTGTGTGAAAAAGTGTAAGTGGACATGAAGGTGGATGAACAACCTAGCAGTGCAGAGTCGCTGAGCAGAAGGTTACTGTGCTGTGGACGGAGCAGCCGGCTACAGCGGTAAGTGGCCCTTCACGGCCCTTCTCCCTGAGCCATGGGGAGGTCCCACCATTTTGGAAGATCCCAGGCCTTCCCTGGGAAGAGGCAGTGGGAGCAGCTAGAGCCCAGCAACATGAGCCCACCAGCACACCTGGCATCATCGGACCAGTGGACACTCTGTGTCAACACAGACCAATGCACAGTAGTGCAGCTCACAAGGTGCTGGTCACAGAAGACACAGACAGCCTGGAGCCCAGCACCATCTACCAAAGTATCAGCCAAATTACAGTGGAGATATACCCCCAGGAACAGCAGCTGGGGAGCAGACATCCATCCTCGGGCAACAGAAGCACAGACCAGCAGCTGAGACCCATCCCTAAAAACTACAGCAAAAGGTGAATAGGAATTGAGCCCCACGGGACAGCAGCACTCCCCAGCCGCCAGCAGCAGGACCTGGGGCTCCACAGAGGCCTGTGCTGTCCAGCAGCTCCCAAGTGCAATGGTAAGCCAGACCTTTAGAGACTGGTGGGATCCAGCTGCCCACCCCTGGGAACTGCAGAGTGCCGGAGCACCAGAGAGGCCTGTGCAACCCAGCAGGGACTGTGCCATCCAGTTACCCACAGGACCAATGGGGTGCTGAAGCACCAGAGAGGTCTGTGCGACCCAGCAGCCCATAACATAGCCATAGAGCCTGGTCCCCAAAGGGACTGTGTGATCCAGTTACCCACGAGACCTGCAGTGTGTGGAGGCACCAGAAAGGCCTGTGTGACCCAGCTGCACACAAAATAGGCATAGAGGATGTGAAAATGGAGGCGGAGTGAATAGAAGCTACACAGATGATCTCCCAGGACCAAACGGGAATTACAACTAAAATAAAGACAAATCTTCAGAAAAAAGCAACAGAAAAGCTGCAGGACAGGACCATATAACCAGCGCTGGTAGGATCTGCTGAGGCATGAGAAAGTGGTGGGCTGGGACCCTAGGGACAGCAGCAGTCTTAGCTGTGAGAAGCACCCTTGGGGAATAAAGACCAAGCCGGCTCCAGAGCTCAGAGGGCAGGGACAGAGTGCTAAAATAGCCACAGCCACTCACCTGGGGGCTAGGGCAGAGGGAAGGCAGACTGGGCTGGAACTTTGTGGGGAAACCCGGGATTTGGAGGGCACTCAGAGTTTTTGCTGAGTTGCAACCACAAAGGACGGTGGCCAGTGTGCTCCTTCCCCAAGTGTGGTTCTAGTTTTCTTCCTATTTCTTCTACTAATTACAGCAGTCCTTTTAGCATATCTTGCAGTGCTGGTTTGGGGTTAATATATTCCCTTAGGCTTTTTTTGTTTGTCTAGGAAGCTCTTTATTTGACATTCTATTTTGAATGATAGCCTTGTTGGATAGAGTAGTCTTGGATTCAGATCCTTGTTTTTCATGACCTTGATTACTTTGTGCCACTCCCTTCTGGCCTGTAGTGTTTCTGTTGAGAAGTCAGCTGAGAGCCGTATGGGGTTGCCTTTGTAGGTAACCTGTTGCTTATCTCTTGCTGCCGTTAGCATTCTCTCTTTGTTTTTAATTTTTGCCATTTTAATCATTATGTGTCTTGGTGTGGGCCTGTTTGGATTCTTCTTACTTGGGGCTCTTCGTGTTTCTTGCACTTGAATTCACCAAGTTAGGAAAGTTTTCTGTCACTATTTCTTCAAATATATTCTCTAACCCTTGCCCATTTTCTTCCTCTTCGGGGACTCCTATGATGCGAATGTTATTATGTTTTCAGTTGTCCCACAGTTCTTAAGCTATCTTCCTGTTCTTTAATGGTTTTTCCTTTTGGTTTTCTGATTGGTTGATTTTTTCTACCCTGTCTTCTAATTCACTGATCTGGTTCTCAGCTTCCTCTACTCTGCTGGTTAGTCCTTCCAATGTGTTCTTTATTTCTGCTATTTCCTTCTTCATTTACATTTGGTTGGTTTTCAATGTTTCTACATCTTTACTCATGGTGCCGATGTCCTTACTCATGCTTTTGAGCTTCCTCAAGATCATGGCTCTGAACTCTACCTCTGATAATTTGCTTAGCCGCATTTCATTGATCTCATCTTCAATAGAGTTCTCTTGTTCTTTCATTTGGGATTTGCGTTTTTGTTTCACCATTTTGGCTATCTCAGTGTGTTTTGGAGCCTGCCAAATTTTCCCTATGGGTGTTGGTGTTCTTCTGTTTGTGGTTCCTTCTACTGTGTTTGGATGAGCCAGGGTAGGCCCACATTAAACACCACTGTCAAGTCTTACTTACCTGGGTAGATTTGCAAGCCCAGGAAAGGTTCAGTGATCCTCTAGCTTTTTGCCTGGAGGCTAGTAGTCTCAGTTATTCAGGGTCTTAGAATGTAGCCCTGGTGTTCTGCATAAGAAGATTTCCAGAGGGTGGAATAAATGCTGGTTGTTAATGAGCCTCAATTGGCATTTCTTTGCCTCACCTGGGAAAAGCTGAATCTCGGGGGTGGGGGGCTGCTGCTTTTTCTCACAGCTCTGGGAAGGAGCACACTGGTCACCATCCTTTGTGGCTGCAACTCAGCAAAAACTCTGAGTGTCCTCCAAATCCTGGGTTTCCCCACAGAGTTCCAGCCCAGTCTGCCCTCCCTTTGCAGGAGCCCCAGGTGAATGGCTGTGGCTATATTAGCACTCTGCCTCAGCTCTGTGCGCTGTGGAGTGGGCTTGGAGTTTATTCCCGGAGGGCACTGCTCAGAGCTAAGACTGCTACTGTCCGTGGGCTCCCAGGCCACCACCCTCTCACGCCTCTGCAGATCCTACCAGTGTCCCTGGTTATATGGTCCTGTCCTGCTGCTTTTCTGTTGCTTTTTTCTGAAGATTTGTCTTTTAGTTGTAATTCCCATTTGGTCCTGGGAGATTGTGTAGCTTCCATTCACTCCGGCTCCATTTTTATATTCTCTATGCCTATATTGCACAGCTGGGTCGCACAGGCCTCTCTGGTGCCCCCGCACCCTGCAGGTTTTGTGGGCAGGCAGCTGGATTGCACCAGTCCCTCTGGGACTCTGGCTTCCCACTGCTCTTGTGGGCTGCTGAATCACACAGACTTCACTGGTGCCCTAGCACCCTGCAGGCCCCACGGGTAACTGGATTACACAGTCTTGGCTGGGTCATAGAGGCCTCTCTGGTGCCCCAGTACCCTGCAGGTGGGCTGGGCTGCTGGATTGCACCAGTCCCTCTGGGTGACTGGCTTCCCACTGCTCTTGTGGGCTTCTGGGTTACACAAGCTTCTCTGGTGCCCCAGCACCCCACAGGACCCATGGGCAGCTGGATTGCACCAGTTCCTCTCAGGCTCTGGCTTCCCACCACTCTTGTGGGCTGCTGGACCACACAGGCCTCTGTGGAGCCCCAGGTCTCACCACTGGTGGCTGAGGAGTGCTGCTTCCCCATGGGGCTCAACTCCTGCTTAGCTTTTGCTGTAGTTTTGGGGGATGGGTCTCAGCTGCTGGTTTGTGCTTCTGTTGCCTGGCGATGTATGTCTGCTCCCCAGCCTCTGTTGCTGTCGACTCTGATGGGGCTGGTACTGTGTGGGATGGTGCTGGGCTCCTGGCTGTCCATGGCTTTTGTGACCGCACCTTGGAAGCTACACTACTGTGCACTGGTCTGTGTCGACACAGTGTCCACTGGTCCGATGGTGCCAGGTGTGCTGGTGGGCTCAGGTTGCTGGGCCCTAGCCGCTCCCACTGCCTCCTCCCAGGGAAGGTGTTTTGAAATTCTTAGGATATATTCCCTGAAGTGGAGTCAAAAGACAGCTCCATTTTTAATTTTTGTGGAAACACATTATTCTTTTCCATTGTGCCTGTACCAGTCTGCATTCCCACCAGCAGTGCACTAGGGTTTCCTTTTCTCCACACCCTCACCAGCACTTATCATTCGTTGATTTATTGAAGGTAGACTTTCTGACATGTGTGAGATGATAACTCATTGTAGTTTTCATTTGCATCTCTCTGATAATTAGTAAAATTGAGCATTTTTTCTTATGTCTATTGGCCATTTGGATATCCTTTTTTGAGAAGTGTCTGTTTAGGTCCTTTGCCTTGTTTTAAAGTTATATTGTTTGTCTTCCTTGTTTTTAGATGTATATTTTTTTATATATTTCAGAAATTAACCTCTTATCAGATGTATCATTGGTGAATATGTTTTCCCATAAAGTGGGTTCCCTTTGCATTTTGAGGATGGTTTCTTTTTCTGTACAGAAGCTTTTTAGTTTTGTGTTTTATTTTGTTAATTTTTATTGTTTTAAAAAGAGAGAGAGAGGAATGGAGAGAGAAGAAATATTGATGTTAGAGAGGCATATCAATTGGTTGCCTCCTGCTGGAGATCAAGCCCACAACCTGGGCATGTGCCCTGATCAGGAATAAAACCAGGACCTCTCAGTCCATGGAACGACATTCAGTCCACTGAGCTACATCAGCAGGCAATACACTTTTTAATTTGATGAAGTGTCATTTGTTTTTTGTTTGTTTCCCTTGCCCTAGGAGATATATAGGCAAAAATACTGCTATGAGAGAAGTCTGAGATTTTATGACCTATGTTAACTTCTAGAACTTCTATGGTTTTTTTACTTACATTTAAGTCTTTCATCCATCTTGAATTTA